AATTGCTAAATTAGAAGTAACCATCTCCTATATATCCTAATTACCCCTCCCATGGTCCCACCTATGTTACCCGAACCTAAAATCACTTGTCTTACTCAAAAGAAAAATTACTATTAAGTCATTTAGGTAATCAGTCAATTAATTAATTCAAATAAAATATATTTATTTTGGACATGCAGTCACCATCAAAGCAGATGATAAATGATAAATGCAAACAAACCTAGGAATTGAGAATTAAATTATGTTTCCCAGATATAAGCCTTAGTTCTTAAGTTGCTTCTCTTAATAACAAAATCGATGGCCATATGCCAAAAACATATGCCAACCTTGAACTTCACGGCATTTGGCTTTTTCTTCCTTTCACATTCGAAAGAATAAAAGGGGTATTTGAATTATTATTTAGTTACAGCTAATAATTGATAATTAATATTTAATGATTAATAATTATTATTATTTATAATTTAAAATATTTAATTAATATGATAATTAACTATTGATAGCTGTTTGTAAAATATCAAAATAAACACTTTAAAAACAGTTTTGAAAAAAAATAAAAATAAAATCGCATTTGACTAAAAATAAAATTAAAGTAACAAAAACTTCCCATGTTACCTGTTTAATTTCTGTAATAGTAAGTTCTAGCTTGCAGAAATGCATGTGTGAACGTTGCTATATCAAGAAAACGAAGTTAATTAAGCTCTTACCATCTCTTGAACCCTGACGGTCTCCACCGCGAGAGGTGGTGCAGCCGCACGGCTCATCACAGCTTCAGCTGAGAGAGCGTCACCAACACTGTGAACATCTACCACCACCCTCGGTCGCCGCAGATCAACCGGCTCTCCACCACCTTCTACTTCTGTGTTCAAAGTCTCAGTACTAGTATTTAAAGAAGGAGAAGACCCATCATCAGAAGACGAAGGCAGAGACGATATGGAAACCCAACTGGAATTCTTCTGAACCAAATTGGAAACAAACAACGATGCAACCACCAAAGGAACCATACAGCACAGAATTTTCGTGGATGAACTACATGAAAACGAAATTTTGTTCCCATCTCCCATTTTAGAGAGGATATAAAAAATTTTTGTTTGGTTACTGAGAAAATGAAAGGGAAGAAAAGAAAACCCAGTTGGGAATCTCCATTTTTTCCTTGGAAAATCAGGAAGGGGTTTGGGTTTGGTGTTTTTCAGAAGAAAACAGATGGAAATAAATAGTTGCAGAATCACGCCAAGCGTCCTCATTTATTTTCCCTCTTTATCCGAGTTCTTCATGCAAAATTTACGGTTTCCGATTTTGCCCCCACCCCCTTCGCCGATTTCCTATTTAATACTCTCCCTCTTCACGTGCCGCACGCTTGTTCCTATGTTTCTGACTTTCTGTGCCATTTTTTTATTTTTTTAATATTTTACAGTGCAATATTTTTAATATTATGTAAAATTATAATTTTATAATTATAATACATAATTAAATAAGTATAATATATTATTAAAAATAT